AAAAAAAAAAAAAAGAAAATTGTTCCGTTTAATTTATTTGCACAAACGCAGAAGACTTATTCTATCTAAATTATTACATAAATATTGGAATGTATATTTTTCCATGGGGTGGGCGGGAGGCGGGTGTTTTGTTGACTTGTCTGTTCTATTATCATGCTGCTGCCAAACTGTGCAAGGTAGACTTTAGGGTGGCCAGAACCCAAGGACCATTGGATTTCAAAGCTTGCTTTTTTCCGTTCTTTCTTCTCTTTCTCCCCCATTCTTCTGCCCCTGCATGGAAGTGCACTCCACCTTCCTTCCCACCCATAGCTCTTCCCCCTTTCTAAATATCTATTTATCTGAAATAAGGAAAACTGACCTCGGTGAGCAGAGGGCCAGCTGTGATGGTCACCTTCTCTTGGGTCTGTCTTTTGAGAGCGGTTGAGTTCAGAGTGAGACAGCCAATCACATGACCACAGGGTATGGCCACAGGGACCCTCAGCCCGAGTCGGTGCCACGGGGGGCCTCGAGAGGCCATAGGTTCTTCCCTGCAGCTGTGTCTTTCTCATCCTTGGGTCATTCTGCATGTTGGCCAGGCAGGTGTCCTTGGGGGAGGCACCCACCTCAAGGGGAGGGCTGCTGGGGACACAATGTCCAGCACCAGAACCTCTCTGCCCTCCCCATTCTGGTTGGTTCCTCCAGCCACACTTAATAGAATCTCCCGGGATCCCTTGGGCCCTGTCCTCCCAACTTGTCACAACAGCCTGAGCCCCCTCACCCCAGGAGAGAAGGGCTGGCAGGAAATCTGCCCATTTGGGGAGCAACATTGGCCCCAGTGAGGCTTCACCAGCAAAGGAACCGTGTGCATTATAACGCCAGGTGATGGAGAACTCGTGAGCTTCTAAGCCAGGGCCTCCTAAGGCCTAAAAGTAGCTTAAACCTTTTCTTTTGTTGACCTGTGGATCCCCCCTCTCCCCCCGCTTCACCTTAACTAACACAGCTCGATGACCCGCACCCTCTGCACAACCGTAGTGGCGCTTTCTGCTAACTGTAACATTTTTCAGCTCTTACAAAGAAAGGAGATTTGAAAGTGCTGGAGAATATCAGAAAGATAGGATATTTTGTCCAAAGTCTCTAAAGCAAACGAAAAAGCACCAGTAGGCCGTTCCCTTTCCTTCTGACTCAGTGGGGAGCGGGGGTGGGGGGAGGCGGTTGCTGGGCAAGAGCAGGCAGGGTACCTAATAAGGATCTTTCTGGCCTCCTTCGGCTAAGCTGTTTAACCGAGCCTGGCGGTGAGGGAGAGCGGCCGGAGCTGACATCTTTCTCTACGGAGAGAGACTTTAGAAAATACTTTTCTCCCCCATGATTTTTTGTTTCCTTTCGGTTGATTTTTATTGTTTGCCCTTTACTTATGAGAACATAAGATTGCAACCACTCCTGGTAATGATTTAGTAGTTCCTTTTCATTTCAGTTTTTGTAAATTAGGAGATAAATCTAAGAGTTACTAAGGATGATTTATTTAAGAGAACTACGTCAAATAGCGAATGAGTTATGGGTAAATTAGTTGAAAATAACTTTTCCCATGGGGAAGGTTTCTCGAAGGCATGGATGCAAATATAAAATATAAAAAAAAATCTAAATAAAGCTTATTTTAAAATATTATCGAACTCTATGTTATTTGAGTGCTTCTATCTTGCTCCGGGCGGGGGGCAAAGCCCCTGCATGGCCTGCTCCTTGAAATTCCAGGGCTGGGTCCGGAGGGGCCGAGGAAAGCTGGCTGAATTCTGGCTGAATTCTGGGCCTGTGGTGGGGCTGAGGCCAGGGTGGCCTCCCAGAAACATCTCACCTTGGCCGCCCTGACTGTAATTTGGGGGAGCTGTCAGCATCCAGGGCTGCCTGTGGTCCTGTTGCACCACCTCTAAGCCTGGCACCCTGGCCCTGAGTTCTCCAGTTCAGCGGCCCCAGTCAGCTTTCCTCTGCTTCCTTCTCTCCCCGGCCATCCTTCCAAAGGCCCAGAAATGGGCCTGTGAGTTTGGGGCACGTTACTTCCTGCAGACCTCAGTGGGCCTCTGCATCGTCCCAACGTCCCACCTAACCCTGGGGACAGGAGAGGAGCTTAAAAGAGAAATCAATGGAGTCACAGGACTTTCCTGATCAAGCCAGTGTGGGCCAGGCTTTTTCGAGTCCCAGGAGATTCCTCCGATGCAAAGCCTGGGCCTCTTCCCAGTGAAACTCCACAGTGTTGCCCAAGAAGAGGTCACCCTGGATACCCCAACCCCCGATTGCAGCCAGGCCCTTCAGCCTCTATCTCCCAACTTAAAGACAAATCCTCTCCAGCAGTCAAACTGATGGAAACCCCTGTCATTTCTGCTGGAAGAAAGCTCAAAGTTCCATGATCTATGAACCATGCCGAGAAGTCGTACAGCTCAGGACTTCGGGGAACTTAGGGACATCCACCCCGGCAGTTCTCAACCTGGCCACACGTTAGAATCACCTGCAGAGCTTGTGAAAACCGTTAACCGATGCCAGGCCACATCCCTGAATCAGAGCGTGGTTAAGCCTTCTCTGGTGCATTCTAAGGTGCAGTCAGCATGGAGAACCACTGGGCTGAGGAGGGTGAGAAGCCCAAACTTACATGCCACTGCTCCCCACTCTCTGGCCTCATGCAGACATCACTAATCAATCAAAGAGCCCCTCCCACCCAGCCCAAAGTGGCCTCTGATTTCTTCACTTTACAAAGCCGCAGGCCGCCCCTGCCGATCAGTCAGACTTTGGCATACGAGGGGAAAGCCTTTCTGTCATCCCGAAACTAACTCCACCACCCCACCCTACCCGCCCTGGACTGATGGGAAGAACTTTGGCCCAGAGAGGAGTGACCTGGCCAAGATTCTAACTATCGCTCCTCTAGTCCTGTAACCTTTTCAAGGGCTGAGCCATACCTCGTTCGAAGCTTTGTAGCTCGACTCAAAAGCCACACTACCTCCTTTTTTAATCTTCTCCGAGACCTTGCCCCCAAATGGTCCGACTTCAAGTGGTACCTATTAGAAATTGAAGTCGGGATGCCCAGGGCATCTAGGGCCAGTGTACAGCCCCACAGGTTGCATACTGCGCTACTCCAGAAGGCACTACTGTGGAAATGGTGCCCTGAGTTGTACAGTGCACAACCTGCACAGCTGTACTCAGTGGCCCCTCCACGTGCTCTCCCACCCATGCTGGCAGGCTCCAACAGATACAACCTAATAATGTAATAATAATATCTAACAATTATTAAGCACTTACCCGAGCCATGGTCTATGCTGCACATTTTACATGCATTAACTCAGTTAACCCTCCCATAACTGATGAGATAACTACATTTTTGATGAGAAAACTGAGGTTAAGTAAATCATCCAGAGTCAAGGAGCTAGTAAAGAATAGAGCTGGATTTCAAACCTAGGGAGTCCATAGTGCCTGGACCGCTCTACCATCTGGGCAGTGAGGGGCTGGGCCTGGTTGGCAGCTCACCTTGCCCACCATGAGTCTGTGGCACAGCCTAGCACTTCCTTGCTGGCGGGACTGCATCTGCTCTATCCATTCCGGCAGCCTTTTACCCCCAGGTCAGGGAGACCCACCCCTGGGAGGAACTGGGGCAGGCAGACTAGATACAAGCTGTTGTCCCGCACTGGTGTTCCATCCGGGCCAGAGGCGTGCCCCCATTTGCCCTGCTGCAGGACCCCTCACTGCACAGAGCTGCCGCAGTCTCAGGGTTAGCTCCGCCCCCGACGTGAGGTGGCGTCTCCCATCCCGGCCACAGCCGGGGCCCAGGAGCCACCCACACCCATGCCCAGTGGGGAATCCCAGTGCCATGTGGCTGCAACATACGAGGTCACCAGCCCTTTGACCGTGAGTTTTAAAATATCTACAGGGCCTCTCACCCAAAACCTGCATTCTCACAAGATGGGCCTCACAGACACCCCACCCCCAGC